AAAAAACCAACTGTAAATTAACGCCTGTTAATTTTAATAACACGATAGTCCAAAGCGTTACCGATTCTAATTACTGGATAATAATACCGAAATCAAAAGCAACCATCACAGAAGATTGTAACGGCAAAGTAACGAAACTCATTGTAAAACAACCTTGTCTGCTCAAGTCGATCAACTGTCATATAATAGTTGACGATAAAGTCATCCGAAGCACCGACATAGAAATTAATGAAAAGCAACCATTTATGACAACCTACGAAGTCAAATTCGACCCAAAACGTACTATCAATCCTGTGAAGATCCAATATATAAACCTCGACGATCTAATGGACCTCAAGGCATCTCTACAAGAAATTCCTTTGGAGGAACCTAAATTGGAAATTCACCCAATCTGGACATTTTTGCTTTATGGTTTTGGAATGTTATGTTTGTCCCTGTACATCTGGAAAAAACGTACGCTTTGCCTACTGAAAAAAACAACGCCTCAACCAACACCAACTAATTTGGAGACTATCGACCCCCAAATAACTTTCTGATAAGGGAGGAGTTATGTGAGCCACCACTAATTTGTTTAGTTAGCATTTTTAGTTTCTCATTAAAAACTGCAATTACATATGTAAAGATTATTCTCTGTTTGCATCTCATATTGTACTTAACTCTGCCATTTAGTTGTAAAATAAAATTTTGTCTTTTATAATAAAAAGTGTTTTTTATTAAGTAAAAACTTAACTTATACATAAAAAAAAAGTTTACAGTCTCAGGTTAACAGAATTAAATTGATTTTACATAAAAAATAATATAAATATGGCATATGATATTTTTTTGTATTTTATTTGAAAATATTTTATTAGTGTTATTTTTGATCGCTGATATCTTTGAAACGGTTGACCTGAAGAACTTTGACCTTCAGATGTTTTTTGTAGAGCGTGAAATTGTCTATAACTCCTCTCGCTTGGGTGTTGCGAAAACAAACCATTCCAAAGTTATAAGAATTGAAAATTTAAAAAATAAAAATTCCCGTGTTATTGAAATGAAAAAACAACAATTGAATTGAGGCAAACCTTAATATTAATATTAAGGGCTTAAATATGCGCCAAAATATTTGTTTTTAAATGTATTATTAATTTTTCAACACCATTAGAAAAAAAATAATTTAAGTTTTTTTTGAAACACCCTAATATATTTCAATATTTGTCTTATTTTTGAATGATTTTATTCTTTTTATTCTGTTTGTAATTGCCAGGCATTCTTATAGATGTTCTAATTCTTATTGCTATTATTTTCTTTTTAAAACTTCTAGAAATATATACTAGCACATTATTACTAATTGCTAATTAACATCTACTAACCTCTTTATGTTCAAATACCTGCTTTCAAACCATTGTTACCCTGACCTTTCTTATGTCACCCCTGCTGTGATCTACTTAGCAATAAATATATTATTATTATTATTATATAAACTCATCTTCCCGCCTTTTCTAAATAGCTCTAGGTTAGTACGTACCCAGTGTTGTCGTTTTCGGATATATTAGTCGAAAATCGGGTATTTTTGTCATGTTTGCGGATAAAATTGGGTATTTTGCAAACTACGATCAAAGTACCAACTAAAGAAATTTTCTGTAAATAATATTGTATATTTACTAAATATGAATAATTATTGTATTCTTCCTGTTACATTTTTATTGACTTATATAAACATTTTAAATTAATTTAATTCATTTTTCAAAACAGGGCGAATGCGCTAGTAAATTTAAAATATAAATAGTGTTTTTACTATTGTGGGTAAGATCGGATATTATGTAATTTTTTGAATTTTGGTCGTAAACTTTTATCATATTGTACGTACCATGAAACACAAAAGCCCAAGTCGAAGTTCTACCATGTTATATGAGTTTGACTGTAAAATATTATGCCTACGCGTTGCGAAAAATTATAATTAAAATAATTTAATTATAGTTATTACACCTTATGTAATCACAAACCAAAAGTAATTCTCAACTGTTTTATTGTGATAAATTAAAATAAACTTTGCTTACCTATTTGGTACCTATATTGTAAATATTGCTTCTGTGTTGTTATAGGACCTATAACAACACAAAAATAATGTTTATAATCACTTTTTTTGTGTGTTTTTATAATAACCAAATATAACATCTCTGAATATTTACGGATATTTATTTTAATCGCTATAGGTACCTACCATTTCTCTGCTTAAAGTCTTATTAAGTCTTATGAACTTATCTAGAAGACTCTTGCTATTAGTTTTTTTGACTTAAAAAGTTTTATTCTGACTTTTGCCGACTTAATAAGTCCTATTCAGTGTTCTTTTAAAACTCTTATTTTTACTTATTAAAACTTTTCCATAGACAAATTTCCACAAGGGTTTGTATAGAAGAATACATCAGAAAATAAAATTTATTAATATTATTATCATTACCCAGATAGCACAAAGAAGTACTGGAAACGTCCTGAGTATATCTTGTATCAGACATTAGTAAGTCCCGAGTACGTCCGAATTAGGTCCTGAACCTTCCCCAGGACGTACCAGGGACATCCGATTTTACCAAATCGTCGGTCCCCAGAACGTCCTAAGTAAGACATCCTCTGGCCGTCCTGAAATACTTTATTGGGGATTATTGGATAGGCTCTACAGAATTGAAGAGTGGTATTCCCAAAGGGTCTAAGTGACAAAAAAAAATTGTGAGTTATCAATGAAAAACAAATATTTTGAACATATAAATGTTGGAATATTTTTGTCATTCTGCATGACACAAACTATTTTTAAATGATAATATATTATTTAGCCAACTTGACACTTAGACCCTTTGGAAATACCAAGCTTTAATTGTCCTTGGGACGTACCGAGTATATCCGCTTTAATTTTCCCAAATAAGTAAGAGACTGGACGTACTCAAAACTTCAGATATAGGTCTGGGATGTTCGGACCTATGTGGGACCCGAAATGGACGTCCTGGGTACCTCTTGTGCTATCTGGGTAGCTTGTAATAATATCCTACTAAAAATCCTACTGCCTACTAAGGATTGAATTTCCTACCGAAGCCGTTTTGAACCTACTACAGCTATTAAAGATATAGTAGGAATTCTTCTGAGATGGCAACACTGTTAATTACTTTTGTATATTAAACTAAATTATAAATTACTAAATTTTAAGTTAGGTATACCCAATTAAATTAGAATAATAATTAGATTAGAAAAATATATGTACGTCATCACTTAGCTGCGCAAACAAAATGCTGCCGGTAAAATAATAGATCAAACGCTAGTGATTAAGGACCACCCCTTAAATTTTACATAATGGACATATCCGGCAGTTTAGATGTCTGCGCTCTATGACGTAGGTACATGTATTTCCTAATCGTACCTACAGGTTGATCTAACAGTTTAATTTATTAAATATATTTAAATACCTATATACAACTCGGCAAATGTAGCTTGAGACGTCAAATGTTTACGCCCATCGAAGCGCAGTGACCAGCTCTTAAAATATTCATTTGCATTGAAGTTGTCGTATCGTAAAGAACGTTGCGCACAGTGGATTAAAATTAAAGTAAATCAAGTATATTATATTATCTATTAATACTATTTATTATTATTATTATCTATTAATACTATTTATTATTATTATTATCTATTAATACTATTTATTATTATTATTATCTATTAATACTATTTATTAAATAAAACAACTTTTTTTTAAATGGAAATGGAAACAGAATAACATTAGCTATCACCTCTCTAGCTTGACCTGACAAAACTTTGCTCTTTAATTTTGATTTAAAATCCATTTTAAATACTACTAGGTTCTTCACAAATAATTATCAATTTGCCATCATTTCTTAACATTTATATCAATAAAAACGTACCTAACCCTAATACAATTTTATTATAACGTATTTTTATTTGTTACCTCATTTAAACATACCTTAACTTTAAAACATTTCTTGTTTACCTTAAATATAATTATATTTATTAATACCCCATCAATATTAAGGTAGAAAATTTTACCTATTTGATCTATTCCATTTGTATAAGTAAATTTAAAAAATTCAAAGTAAATTGAAAATTTACTATCGTTTACTCTTAAATATCTTTAATAATGTTGTTACACGGTCCGTAGTTGTCATTAAAATCTTTATTAGTTACTTCCATTAAACTTTAATAATTTTTTAGCTCTAACCACAGCATATGCTGTGTTCTAACTATTTTATAACTTAATAATTTAAAATTTTACAAATACCATGTAAAACCGCTTTTAGGGGATTTTAGTCCTCTGTGCGGCCGATCTCGGCCGTATCATGGATCTCTTTTCTTCCGAATGCGTTCTCTCTTTAAAATTTGCGCACCAGTCTCATATCTGAAGTCTCTTCCTACATTTGCCGAGTTGTACTATAGTTTTATACATTAATAATAAAAATATCTAACTCTAAAAATTATAAAATACCTACAGGTGGGTATTAAATTAGGTATGGATTAAATTATAATATAGAGTGAACACGATTAGAGAAATACTCCACATAAAAATGGTGTTTTTTTAGAGGTATAGAACTTTCGACAGGAATTTCTGTCAAACCATCTGTTAGAATTACCTGTCTTTAACATTTTGTTTAGTAAACTTTGGCAAATTACCATGCAAAGGCTTACAACTGAACAACGTTTACAACGCGTGAAAATTTATTTCCAAAATATGCGTTCTGTGCGATAAATTTATAGGGCACTTCGCTCAATTTACGGTGCGTATAATCGTCCATCTAAGCAGCTGTAGAGGTGAGTGTGGTCGAGGATCCAAATTTGTCAATTCAACGTCGTTCTCAACAATTCGGCCTCTCCCCGTCGACTACGTGGAAGATTTTGAGGAAAGATCTTGGATTACACTCTTATAAGATCAACTTGTGCAGGAATTAAAACCAATGGACCATCGTTTGCGGCGTACGTTTGGGGAATGGGCTGAAAATCAACTGGAAGTTGAACCTGATTTTTACCCTCAAATCATTTTCAGTGATGAGGCTCATTTTTGGATTAATAGATATGTTAACAAACAAAATTGCTGTTTTTAAAGTAAGCACAATCTGAAGAAGACAACATGGCAAAACTTATAAAGAATTATTTATCAAATAGATCTCAATGTGTATTTGTAAACGAAGTTTGTAGTAATTGGACCAGCACAAATATAGGTGTTCCACAAGGCTCTGTATTGGTACCAATTTTTTATCTATTGTATGTACATAGTACAGGTCTTAAAGGAAAATATTTTATGTATGCAGATGATACGGTCTTAGTTTACTCTGGAAAGAAAAACACTTTGCTAGAAAACAATATTAATGATGATTTAAATAAATATTTACAGTGGTTAAACTAGTCATTAATGTGGAGAAGACTGAATATATGCTATTAAAGCAAAAAATAAACCATCTATAGATATTAATGTTTTCATAAATTCTCAACAAATTAAATAAGTCGGGTCATATAATTATCTTGGCCTTTTAATAGACGAACAGCTGAGATGGGCAGAACACACACAAAAAATTTGTAAAAAATTGTCATCAACAGCTGGGGCTTTAAGAAGATGCAGTTATTTTATAGAACATAGCCACCGTAGAATGATCTATCATTCGCTTGTTGAATCTGCCTTGAGATACCTTATCGTTTGCTGGGGTAATTCTGCAGAGTATTTATTAAATAATGTACAAAGAATCCAAAACAAATGTATTAAGTTTTTATTTAATTTGGAGTATAGAACACCTTCTAACCAACTTTATAACATAACTGGCTTTGGCAATATAAATTTTTTAATACATTATGAACTGACTAGATATATCCACTGTATATTAAAAAACTATACAAAGAGCAATACTGTGTTAATGACCACTTCACAAATACACTCGGTAAATCTTAGATCAGCAAATAATCTTAGAGATTATTTAAGAAGAACTAATTCTTGCCAAAACACTGCCATACACAATGGAATTCAACTGTATAATCTGCTACCTGAAGAGATCAAGACTGCCAATACTAAAGTGATATTTGAAAAAAAATTAAAAAAATTTCTAAAAAATGTTAATATTTAATCCTAATTATGATTACTGTGATTTTATGTCTTATATTTTATACTTATACTTACTATATGTTTATGTAATATTAGGTTATTTTTTGTAATTTTTTATTAATATTTCATAACCTGTGATTGTAATATTTTGTATTAGTTCATGGCACCAGTGCAATAGCACTGTTTTAATGAACATAAATAAACATTATTATTATTATATTATTATTATTACCGCCAATGGTGAGCGCTACAGGCAAATGATTCGCGATTTTTTGGTTCCCCATGTCAATACCAATCGTCTGAGAGATAAGTGGTTCCAGCAAGACGGCGCAACCTGCTATATGGCGCGTGAAACCATCACTTTATTGGACAGACTTTTGGTGAACGAATCATCTCAAGAAATAGACCTGCCCATTGGCCGCCTAGGTCATCCTTTGGACTACTTTTTGTGGGGGTATGTCAAATTACTGGTCTATGATAATAAGCCAGCTACAGTTAAAGATTTGGAAGCCAATATTCGACACGTTATTGACGAAATAAGGCCGGCGATGTTGGAAAAAGTGGTGCCAAATTGGACCGATAGGATGGCCTTTATAAGACGCAGTCGTGGTGGCCATATGCCCGAAATTGTTTTCAAGCACTAAATGACATAAAATTTTTGAACTAATAAAGCAAAAATATTGGTCATTTCATTCGTTTTTCTGTGTTTTCTTAAAAAAATGTTCTATATCTCTAAAAAAAACACCCTTTACTTCACTTAGCTGCGCGAACAAAATGCTGCCAATGGAATAATAAATCAAAACGCTAGTGAATAAGGATAACCCCTAACATTTTAAATAATGGACAAATCTGTCAATTTACTTTTTCTGCGTATAAAATCAATTGGAAAATTGATCAGTAAACAGGAAATGGATCAATCTCATCAAATTTATTTTTCGATTCCTTGTAAAATTCTAAGCATAATTCATATAACATACCATATACCTAAATTCAACCGTTTCTGAAATATTTAAATTATTTTTAAGATAAAAATAATAAGTTAAAATAGTTTGTCTTTCTCTGTCTGAGGACGGCATTTTTACTCACTTAACAATTAATATTGACATAATGTCACTTCAGTTATATATTTTCATATGTATGCTATATGAATTATTCTTAGAATTTGACTAGGATTTTAAAACTAAACGTAGAAAAAAAGTATATTTCAGTACCTACATAACCATACTTTTAAATTTTTTGGGACACTAAAAATAAAAATGTTATACTGCCCAACTATGGAGAAAGGCAGTAACTTCTAAACAAGAAATTTGTGGGAAATTAGCATAAACTATGTACATTTTTATAAAAAGCAGTAGGTATTTAACTGATTTATTTAACTTATAAGATAGTTTACTACATTTATTTGTTGAATTAGGATACAAAATGTCCATAGCTTTATCATAGCACAAGAAACCGCATTTAGAATTTTTTTGTAGGCCAGTATAGGGGGCGACATTTTAGGGGATCACCCTGTACATGTATTTCTCTAATCTTACCTACAGGTATGTCTAACAGTTTAGTTTATTAAATATGTTTAAACAGTTAAAATATCTAACTCTTAAAATATTTAATTATTTTTAATATTTAGTGGCAATACCACAAGAGGATCATTACTCTTTGGATTATCGGCATACAAGCTCCATGTTTTTTCAATGCAGTCAAATATTCCTGTAAAAAAAAATGTGAATGAATAAATGTACGTTTTATATTAAAAAATACAAAAACACAATAAAAAATAATAAAATTGTTATTTTTTCAACCTTTCTTAATGGGCTTTAAAATAAAGTAAACTTTTTTTAAATGCGATAATAAATAACTATGGCAAGCCGTTTTACTATTTAATGTACAATTTTTGGGCTAGGGATATAAAATTCACCGTATTTAAAATGGTTAAAATTTCCATTATGTTTGATAAATAATGGATTATTTAAAATTTAGTTGTACATAAATTTAATTAAAAATACATTAAATAGTAAAAGGGCTTGCCAACTTAGTGAAATTAATTTTAATTTATTTTTAATTTGTCCAAATCTTTGGTTTAATTCGGTTCAATTTTTATGATACCTTATTACAATTACATCAATTTTTCTGAAACAATACATGCCTTGCACATGTTGAATTCATCGTCAAAAATTATTGTAACTGTATGAAAATGATATGTTACAAGAAATAACTCCATATTGCAAAGGTGTTGATATTAAATTACAATTCAATGAATTATTTTTTAATAGGTGCACAAATATTTTAATTTTTATTTGAAACTTATTTTAAGTTGCAATGTTTTTTATATAATAATTTTAATTTAATTATTTAAAACGATGTAGAATATAATTTTTATTGCTTGAATTAAAATGGTGTATAACAACATTTTAATTTCTGGAATTAAAATGATGTCGAGTATAATTTTAATTCGTGATTTAAAATTATGTAGAGTATAATTTTAAATGAGCGTACTAAAATGATGTGTACATAATATTAATTCAATTAAGATGATATATAGTATAATTTTAATTATGTAAATTAAAACCATGCACATATAATTTTAATTCCAGAATTAAAATTATACACACATAATTTTAATTCACAAAATTAAAATGATACTATCCATCATTTTAAATGAATTAAAATTATGCTACACATCATTTTAATTGAATTAAAATTATACTTTACATAATTTTAATTGAATTAAAATTATGTACATAATGTTAATTCGGCAACGCCGCAATCTCGAAAGCTAACGTTAGAATGTTTCTTTTTTGGTAACTTTTCGTTTGGCTAGTGTGGTAATATGTCAGGCGGTATTTGGTGGAAAGTTCCCACCAAATACCGCCTGGCAACAGTGTTCCCACTGGGAACACTGTTGCCAACGGTCTGTTGGTGGGATTACAATTAAACAATTTAGGGCCGGTTCTTCAATATCAAATAAACTTAAGATTATCTGCAACCTTGAGTTAACCTTTAGTTTATGTAAAATAAATGTTTTTCAATTATCAGTTAAAAGATTATCACATGTTTATTGTCGGTTAATCGCTACTAAGAGCAGAGGGAAACTCCAATTCATAACCTCAAAATCTTAATATATTTATAAACAGCTGTATTGTTTAGAATTTATCTGGTGAAAATGAATTTTGATCCCCTTAATTTAGATCTTATAAACGCGTTTAGCGATGATGAAGAAGGTCCCGTAAGGCGTTCTAAAATTATAAGAGTGCGTCCAAACTTTTATGAAGAATACGAATAAATTGACTTCTTTCGGAGATTTCGTTTGTCGAAAGGAGTTCACTGCTTAAAATACCCCATAAAGACATACAAAATAATCTATCGGGCACTACCGGATTCAATATGTGCATTTTCCATGTTTTTTTTTCGGTTTCAGCCCGATAGAAAATGTATAGGAAATTACCCATAGGCACACCATAACTTTTACATTTTCCCTATTGAGACCGATAGCAAATAACTCAATGAAAGATATATGGGGATATCCCTATAGAGCAACCATAAAACATTTAACAAAATTTTATTAAAACCTATGGGGCCCTATGGGGGAAAAACTAATTTCTACATTTATGTGTATTTTCCCCATTGAAACCAATAGAAAATAAATCAAGGGTGGATATCCCAATAGAACAACCATAAATCCCAACTATGGGTCCTATACATACCGATACACCCTATAGAAACACCATACATTCCGATACAAATATCTATCGGTTTGAACAGGGTCTCTATGGGGCAGGGGTGTTCCTGAAACTTTGCAAATTGTGCACCCATCTAGCGTGAAATTGTACTAACGAAGATCAAATTGTACTAACTTATCTCAAAAATTCAAAACTTGTTCAAATTTAATTAATATCAGATTTCTGACCAGAATCACATTGGCATAAGTAAAATTATAATAAATTATTAGCGCTTTGGTTTTTCTTATGA